CACGAGACCCCGTCGCAACCCGCCCTTGAAACGGCCGTTGCTTATCACCTCTATCTGGTCTCCGGTGTTTATGACGATGGCGTTGGCGAGTGGCTGCACCTCCATCCACCGCCCGTTCTTTAGCACTTGAAGGCCGCCGACCTTTTCATCTTGGAAGAGGAGGATGAGTCCTCCCGCGTCGGTGTGTTCCCGAACGCCGCTGACGCGGTCCGGACGCGGGCAGGGCGGGTAGTGGCTTACTTTTGTTCCGAAGAAGGGATTGTATCGCCCGTTTCCTGAGAAGGTCTGTTTGATGTACCCTTTGCTGAGGCCGAGGTTTTCTTCTATAATGTTCAGCATTTTCTCTGCCAGCTTCTTCAGCTCTGATCGGTATTCTTTCATCGTCTCCCTAAGGACATACAATCAGCCCGACCATCATTAGTACCAGAAACAGAATCCATAAAACAGAGATTTTTAGTTCATATCCCTAAATACAGAATAGAATTCACTCATAAAGGAAACAAGAGGACTTTATTAGAAGTAAAGAAAATTGGGATTGATGGAGTTTTTGTTAAACATCATTACTTGAACTGAAGTGGGTTGGATGGCCAGTGGTTGTCATCCTGCAAGAGAAAAACGTCTTCCCAATCGACATCTTTCAATGTCTTGCCAACTTCTCCACTGTCGATGAAGTCATTGAGAAGCTGAACAACCATGGAATCCTTGAAACCATCCTCTCTCTCCGCCCTATAACACTCCGAACAAACCTTCTTAACTCGATCAAGAAGATCTAACGGAATGCCATGGTTCACCAACTGTAAATGTTATTGTCATGATACTCAGAATTAATTATTATATAACAGTACCAATAATGCTAGCTTAGTTATGGAATTAAGAGTTAATCAATGAAGGTTGCAGAAAAGGAAGCCCAACCTGGAAGAAGCCCCACTCCTCGCAAGCAACGGCTATCTCCGCCATTGTTGCCGCCCTGTCCTCGCCTTCAAGTTCTGACAAGTCGATCACCGGAACAGCCATTTTTTTAAGGCGTTTTCTTGTACCACACCACTATTAACTTAACAGTAATACTATTTTGGCTGCTTAAATCAGTCGATGTGGAAGGACGAAGGGAAGTAGGGCTGCTTTTATAGTGCGCTGAAGTTGAAGGTCAATTATTGATTTGGGCGGTGGTCTTGAAGCGCATTTTACAAAGCTTTCACGCGGAGATAAAGATGTAAGAAATTAAAGGTCATTGCTGACATAGCATTCTGTCTTCTCAAGCATTGATATCAAATATAT